ACGTGTAAATTTACCACTACTAACATAGTATTGGCAAACAGTGAGTAGCATTTTTGTTTACAATATATGTCTGGTTTTTTTTAGAGGTCAGACTTGGAGTCAATTCCGATTAGCGAAAGAGTATTAGTCGTTCGCATATGTCGAAATATTGCATGATCAACGGCGTCTACTGTATCTTGTCAGACATGAGGGCCTATTTGCTTCTCGGCTAATCGTTTCGCTCGAGACCATTCCCCCTGACCGTGACCGTCCGGATAGTCCCATTTCTGGATCTGAGTGATTTTATTTGAAGAGATGCTTACCCCCCCTCCCCCTCCCCCAAGCTCTTTCATCTAACTGCGTGCGTGCGGTGTGCGCGGGATTTTTTTTTGCGCACCGTTAGTTGAATCTAATGAGCCCACTCAATCGTCTCTCTCCTTCTCCGCGATGACCAAGCCTGCGGTACAGGCCTGTGTGAGATCGTGTGCAAGGCTGTTGTAAGAAACTGATTTAAACTCCCAACCCGTGTGTCAAAGTCGTGCACATAGCTGCATGATTTATTGCTAACCGTACTAGCCTTCTGTACCGTGTCGAAAAGTATAATCTCTAGGTGACTGTAGTCTACCCCTGCGAGTACACCGCCCCAAAACTGCAGTTGCACACATTGATTCGGAGTTGGAAAAAATAATTCACGGTTTTTGTCATTTCCTTTGCTCTCATCTCATGTGCGCTCACTACTCATTTAAGCAAAGCCTTAAACGCTTATTTATTCTCGTCGTACAGAAACTCCACTGGGTATTTATTCTTTCTACAAAGTCTCAAAACTAAATTGAAACTATGAAGTAGGCACCTATGTGGTATTCCTCCGCCGTATCGGAAGAGCTTGAACCCGTGGGACTTTTCTCACGCATTTTTGACCAACTTTAAACGCTCGCGGTGGATGGGACATCTGTCTAAATCAGCCCACTTGGTGTTCGACTAGTCATCTTCCCTGTCCCCTACAAATAACCGAAACGCTAACCTTTGTATCCCTTCGTGAACATCTTGACCAGCTGATCGCGATCTATTGCCATAGGTTAAAGGCTAAATTGATGGTGCTACTCGTTGATCGCTAACAGAACTCACTCGTTCCACTCTGCCTTGGGGCACATCCTCGAGTCTCACCAGCGACCACACAACAGCTCTTGGTCTAGGCTGATAAATATTGCGGTCAGTGGCTGCAATGGCCGTTTCTGGCTTATTAGCTGTCATTAGCCAGCCATACCCAACACCAGATGGTGCGCCAACTGAGGCTCGAATCCGCTGCCTGTTGATCAGAAGTCCACAGTGCTAACCATTAAACCACGGGCTCGTCGTCCTGCCGCTTTCGATCGGGAATATGGAAGGAGTTCCCCCCCATGGTCAGTTTTCGGGACTTAACCGTCCGTGTCCTATGCCAGTGATTGCATGACTGGAGTGGACTGTTGAGGAGCCCTGCTTGCGGACTGCATCAGCGTGGGCGTAATGACCAAAACATAAACCCATGGACACAAGCTAACAGGAATGCGTCTGCGAATGGTCCCGTGCATGGATTTGCAGGTTTAGTGGTTAGATTTATGTCACATTAACGCGCCTCTAATATGACTGCGGTATTTTTTCCAAATGTCTGACATTGAGGGGATTTTGCATGCTTCTTCATCATTGCTGCTTCTTTTTTTTCATATGGACCATTCTATTCAAGGACAGAAATCAACTTCACGTAAGAACAACCAACCTACTTTTATAATATATGTAGATAAATGTACGCATTATTTTGGGTTAGGCATCACGTTGCGTTTTTGTCGCAAGGCCACCTCCAGCCGTAAGGAGCTTGTTTTGTCTGAGGGCTGTATAGTTTTGCCCAGCGTCACCTCGGTGGAGGATTCTTGTCAGTCCTCGGGTAGGTTCGTCACAGGGCCGCCTTAGCCAAGTTCGTCATGAACATATTTGTCTGGTCTTTATGCATGTAATGGCCCTGGACTAACTAAGCCATACACAGGGCTAGATATGGGTTGCAAGCTGAGATTTTTTGCTCCTGTTGCTGGGTCTGCACATTTCGTCCAGTTTTCCCCGACGTTATCGCATTTGCTATCATTGCAACCGATTGGGCAGACAATTGTTGAGGTTTCGGTATGGGGGCAGTCTGTCGTTGAGTTGCAGCACACGGCGGCCAATTGGCCCCCGGTACGTTGTGAGAGTCGGGAGACTGCTTCAAACTATCCTTTTATGGGCAGGGAATGGCTCGATTTTACCTATTCTTTGTTAGTTTTGTTCCACCGCACAATATACCATATTGCCTTGCCTTCCACACATCCGCGCGCAGAATCTGCCTGCACGTCCTGGACAGCCGGCCAGTACAAACCCTGAGGCTTCTGCATTCCATGCACTAGTCCTCGTGAAGGAGCGAATCACCACTTCCACCCTCTGCCGCCTCATCTGCGAGCTCAGCGCAATGGCACCAATGTACGCCGGTCTCAAGGCTTCGTATTGTGTCAGCGCTAACCCTACCAAAAATCTGGTCAGTTCTGAGCTTCTTTTTCCCCATATCCTCTTTTTGCAGTGTTGTACGGATCTATAGTGGGGTCCCCACAGTGCGCGCGAAGCGCGCTCCACTCCAATA